TCTCTTGTTAACCGGTTAGCTTGCAATGCACCTACATGTGACCTACTTTAGTATTTTACTGTAATACCAGATGATTTTACTCATCAATTAAAGAGTAAAGTCAGTTAGTTAACGAGTTAACAAGTTAATGAAACTATCTGTGAGTGTCTCTTGTTAACCATCAACTGACAGTAGCTTCCACTGATGAGTAAAATCATCTGGTATTACAGTAAAATACTAAAGTAGGACACACCTGGGTGCAATATTACAAGCTAAATGGTTAACAAGAGATACTTACAGATAGTTTGGTAGCTTGATCATTAACCAATTAATTTTCAATGCACGCAGATGTGAGCTACTGGTCACTCGTGGCTGTTAGCTGAGATGTTGAAATCCAAAAGTGTGCGATGTCGTGTTCTGCGTTTTTCTGGCAGGCGTGGTATCCGCGTCGGATATTCAACATGTTGAAAAATTTTGTGCATGAGTTAAGATTTCCTGACAGTGTGCTTGCGTCCTGAGATATCGGCTCAGCAGTTAGAGCGAATGTGTGCACTTGTTCTTTTCATGTTGTAAATTATTTTTACAACCTAAGTGGGCGCAAAATATTAACTCAATTGTTGCCGAATCCGTACTGGAAAACAAATTAAGCCCGCTGCACACGAGGCCGAGGGCTATTAGCTAAATACCTCGTGCGGCGCTTTTAGCTTACGGCAAGTTACTCTCGTGTGCGGATAGTTTTTCGTGAGGAATTGACCTGGAGAGGCAAGTTTCTGACGTGTGCGGATGGTTTTCAGGCGAGCTCAATGCCTCGCATGGTCTTTAGCTCATCTAATACCTCGTGTGTGCGGCAGGCTTTAGCGGATTTTTAGCACAATTATCCCTGTCTATGCGAGGTAAAGTGTCCTGAGTGACCCATGTTCTCATTTTTTTGGTGCCTTTAAATCTTAAATGATTTGTTGACAGTGCTAAGAAGTATTTGAATGTAATTTTTCTTAACTTTAAGTACATATACTATATAAGCGCCTTGTTTTGAACCCACTCTTAATTCATTTTACGCGAGTATCATTCGCTCCAACTGCGGAGCCGATAGCTCAAGACGTGTGCACACTGTGAGGAAATGTTCACTTGTGCACAAAATTATTCTACTTTTTGAATATCCGACGCCCATAGCAGGCGTGTAAGAAAACGCAGAATACGACACCACACACTTGAGGCCACAGCGCAGCTAACTGTTAACAGTCATGAGTGAAATTCATCTCAGTTTCCTCCAGTGTGCGCTGGGCTTTAGTATTTTACCCAACACCAGATGATTTTATACTCATCAGTGGAAGAGTACTGTCAATTATTAAGTTAGCAAAACTATCTGTCAGTGTCTCTTGTTAACTCATTAGCTTGCAATACACATGCATATAGATGTGGCCTACTGTAGTATTTTACTGTAAGTATTTTACTCATTAGTGGAAAAGTACTCCCAGTAAATGAGTTAACAAAGCTATCTGTCAGTGTCTCTTATATTTGGTGTATTAATTAAGCTAAAGTAACTTTATTTTTATTGGATAGCTCTATCAGCTCTAAACTGTTCTTTCTGGAGGTCCAGTAAAGTTCATCTCTTATTGCAGTGTAGCACTACAAGAGGAAACCTAAACTAAATTAACTTTATTTATATTGGATAGCTCTATCAGTTCTAAACTGTTCTTCCTAGAGGTCCAGTAAGGATCATCTCTTATTGATCCATTGTTACTACAGGAGTAAACCTAAACTAAACTAACTTTATTTCTACTGGATAGTTCTATCAGTTCTAAATTGTTCTTCCTAGATGTCCAGTGAGGTTCATCTCTTATTAATCCAGTGTTACTACAGGAGGAAACCTAAACTAAACTAACTTTATTTATACTGGATAGTTCTATCAGTTCTAAACTGTTCTTCCTAGAGGTCCAGTGAGGATCATCTTTTATTGATCCATTGTTACTACAGGAGTAAACCTAAACTAAACTAACTTTATTTCTACTGGATAGTTCTATCAGTTCTAAATTGTTCTTCCTAGATGTCCAGTGAGGTTCATCTCTTATTAATCCAGTGTTACTACAGGAGGAAACCTAAACTAAACTAACTTTATTTATACTGGATAGCTCTATCAGTTCTAAACTGTTCTTCCTAGAGGTCCAGTAAGGTTTATCTCTTATTGATGCAGTGTAGTACTACTGGAGGAAACCTAAACTAAACTAACTTTATTTATACTGGATAGCTCAATCAGTTCTAAACTAGTCCTCCTAGAGGTCCTGTGAGGATAATCTCTTATTAATCGAGTGTTACTACAGGAGGAAACTTAAACTAAACTAACTTTATTTATACTAGATCTGGATAGCTCTATCAGTTCTAAACTGTTGTTCCTAGAGGTCCAGTAAGGATCATCATATTTCTCTGGTTTCCCGCTCTTTCTTTTGGCATAAAAAAACAGTGTCCATGTTTGGGGCCAAACTAAAACGTGTTTGTTGATAGTGATGAAAACGCGTGTTGGGCTTCTGGGTTGAACTCCCAGAACGCTGTGGGAATGATTTCAAAACATGGGGACATTGCCTAATTACCTATTTCTGTTTGGAAGTTTCAAATTCTCGTTCTCAAAACACAAATTCAAACTGTGACTATTGTATTGTTATGACTGATTTCAATAGTTTTGTGGTTTTGGGGAACACCCTGTAGAGATAAATAAAATGATATACAAATGACCCTTCCACGATTTCTATAGAAGTAATTTAGCTTGTAGGAACACCACGTAACTATTCAATACTGCGCAAAGCTTTCGGTATATAGCTGAGAGTGTGAGTTAGTGACCTCCCGTCCCTTTAATTTTCCAGTTTCTTTCTTTCCCAAAGTTGCCATGGCAGCTAATCAAAATTCAAAAGGAACCGGTGGCCGGTGGGTGAAAAATCACTGAGCTATATTATAACTGAGGAATTATTATATAGCTCAGTGGGAAACATTCAAATATTATGCTCCAAGCACAATGTCGAAACGAAAACAAATCTCTTGTGTTTTGACCCTGGTTTATCGAGCAAGAGTGCGTTAAATCGACGATGATTTTACTAAAGAAAGACTACTTTATACCGTGCTTGACACCGAAGTATGTTCCATTACATTTGGAAATGTTTTTCTCGCATATCCAAGCGGGATTCGAGGTTTGTATTATTATTGTGTTATATTTACATTGTATTTCAGGAATTATTTATCAAGTCTTCGTCCCTTATTTAAGCCAAAATTTTGGACATATTTCCGGTCTTGTTTACTCATTTTGCTGTACGTGAAAACTGCTTGAAGGTACGGTAGATTGCTGAATAATTCAGAGCGGTTACACTCGACTTAAAAGCACAAAATCATTTTGAAAGAATCGAATTTCAATTGTGTATAGATTTGCGACAAATTTTGATACAAAACTGTTATTGTGTGGAGATTTCAAACTTCATATGTTAGGCATTGATAACGCTGGTAAATCAACTACTATCAATATTTTGAAAGGAGGTATTAAGATATTATTTAGAGCCTTTTTACGAAAATAATATCTTCTTACTGATGAGAGTTTGAATCGACATACTGTGATGAAAAGTTTGACATGTTTTAAAATATAGGCAGATATGCATACCAGTATATTAGTATTTTACTCTGTCTAATGTCAGATGATTTTACTCATCAATTGAAGAGTAATGTCAGTTAATGCAACTATCTGCCAGTGTCTCTTGTTAACCTAGCTTACAATGCACCCAGATGTGACCTACTTTAATTAATATTTTACTGTTACATCAGATGATTTTACTCATCAATTGAAGAGTAATGTCAGTTAACGAGTTAACAAAACTATCTGTCAGTGTCTCTTGTTAACTTACTAACTGACAGTACTCTTCCACTGATGAGTAAAATCATTTTGTATTACAGTAAAATACTAAAGTAGGACACATCTGGGTGCATTTTGCAACCTAATGGGTTAACAAGAGACACTGACAGATAGTTTGGTTATTCATTAACCGATTAGCTTTCAATGCACCCAGATGCATGTGGGCTACTTTAGAACATTACTCCAAATCGAGATTATTTTACTCATTAGTGCAAGAGTACTGTCGGTTAATTAGTTAACAAAACTATCCGTCAGTGCTCTTGTTAACCCATTAGCTTGTAATGCACCCAGACGTGACCTACACTAGTAAATTACTCTAATGCCAGATGATTTTACTCATCAGTAGACAGTAGATGAGTATTGACAGTTAATGAGTTAACTATCTGTCCATGTCTGTTGTTAACCCATTAGTTTTGCAATGCACCCAGATGTGTCCTACTTTAGTATTTTACTGTAATACCAGGTGATTTTATTCATCAATTGAAGAGAATTGTCAGTTAACGAGTTAACAAAACTATCTGTCCTTGTCTGTTGTTAACCTATTAACTGACAGTACTCTTCAACTGATGAGTATAATCATCTGGTATTACAGTAAAATACTAAAAGTAGGTCGCATCTGGGTGCAATTTGCAACCTAATGGGTTAACAAGAGACACTGAAATATATTGGTGACTCATTAACTGATTAGCTTTCAAATTTCACCCAGATGCAACTCCAAATCGCGATCAATTTATGTATTAGTGGAAGAGTACTGTCAGTGAATAAGTTAACAAAACTTAGCATCAAATGTGGTATATAACAACTGCGTAAACAGACAAAATACTTCTCGACCTGAGGTCCTTGGTCAGGAGAGTTGGAAAGCAACTCTCCTGACGAGGGTCCTCAGATCGAAACGTTGAGAAGTATTTTGTATATTTAAGCAGTTGTTGTAGCACATTTGATGCTAAGTTGTTTGAAGACGCTGCCACGTTGCTCTCTGGCTATATTGAAAGTTAACATAACTATCTGTCATTGTCTCTTGTTAACCGGTTAGCTTGCAATGCACCTACATGTGACCTACTTTAGTATTTTACTGTAATACCAGATGATTTTACTCATCAATTAAAGAGTAAAGTCAGTTAGTTAATGGACAGGCGTTCGGAAACTCTATATGAAGTACGTGCTTACCATATCGCAGGCTCTAGAAAAACAACGTGGGTTGTAACGTTTTGCTTTGAAAATTGAGTTGTGGTAAAAGAATTTGGACAATTTGAACGTTTTCTGATGGACATCCTTTGTTATTAGACTGTTTTCGGTATCGTTCTGTTATTTGGCTTGAACTGAAGAAGATTTGACTGTGTTTGAACGGTAAAATAAGCATGATTTCACTGATTTATTTACGTCGTGAAAAGTGCCAAGTGACAGTCATAGTATTTAATTTGTATTGTCTTATTTTCCTTGTTTATGTTCTTTGTAAGGTTAATATGTTTGTTTAGATATTTATGTCCTATTTTACTTTGTAATTTTATAAATATTTGTCCTTTTTAGCGTGAAAATAAAACCGTTCGTTATTCTGTGTGTACTTCATGTAACATTGCACATAATTGCAAAATATCGAAGGCGCTTGGGTTGGTCGTCAACTAAACATTGAAACGAGGCCTAACGCGTGAACATTTTGGTCCTTCGAGCCGGATGAGAGTATAACTAGACAGAACTGACAAAAGCTAAATAATTTTGGAACAATACAATGTCTGTAGCTGAAAATACAAGATCGCGAAAGGATAAAAGGTCTCAAAAGGATGAAACGGAGCATGAGGAGACAAGGCAAACCTCTCAAGCTGATCAGAACGTCGAGAAGGTAGATAACTCAAGAAATGTTAGGGAAGACCCATCAACCCCCCTCTCCGAAGTAATTAAAGGTATTCGCTTTAAGAGACGTGTTGCGATAGGTGTTATCAACAGATATATTGATGCGACCAACAAAATGATGGAAGAAAAACGTAGCCGAACTGCTATAAAGAGAAATCTACAAGACATCCAAAGTAGATTCAAAGAAGTAGTAGCCTACAATGACCAGCTCGAAAAGTATCTTGAAGGGGATGAAGAAATACTTGCAGACATGTATATCCTCACCGACTTAACAGTGGATGTAAACTGCATAACCGGAATGGTACAGGAACATTTAGAAGATCGAGCCGGTGAGACCTCGACACATACTGGTTCGGAGACTAGTTCGCAGCATGGTAGTCCACCCCCTGAACCCCAAGTGGAAGGCGATGATCAAGATAAAATTGACAAGCAGCAACTGAAAGACCTTGAAGCTGAACAGAAAAGAAAAGATGAAGCAGCCCATCTCTCGGAATTAGCCCACCAAAAAAGAACTGAAGCCGCTCAACTTGAAGCAGAAGCCGAGGAAGCTGAAAGGCAGTCAGAAGCGATTGGAGGTATGTGTGACCAGTCAAGGCCGAAACTGCCCGTAAACCTGCCTACACAACCGGCGATATGTGGTGAAGAAAAGGCTGCGCTTTATGTACAACACCTTGAAAAGGTCAAGACGCAGGGAGCCCAATCTGAGAATCCTAGTACAGAAGATTGGATTGTTGAATTCCGAAAGACACTGGAAGTTGATGTTCAATCAGTGAACCCTGGAAAGCTTCCTGTAAGAGCGGACGTGCCCATTTATTATGGTGATCCATTAAAATGGTTGTCATGGAGTGGTCTCTTCAAAGCGCTTGTACACAACACGAAGATGACCTCGGAGGCCAAGATGGGATTTCTTCACACGAAACTGTCTAAAGAATGTGACCAAGTGATCGCGGGTCTATTCCCAGATGACGAAGGATACGCCGAAGCCCTGATGCTGTTACGGGACAGATATGGGCATCCAACTACGCTACAAGCAGCTCATCTACAAGTACTAAAGTCACTACCCGTGGTTGATTCCAGAGGCTCAGACAATTCAGCACTTAGTTTCCAGTCCTTCGTTGATCAAGCGAGAAGTCACCTTTCTGTACTTAAACGATATAGTAAAGGAGAATCTCCATTCGTGTCATCTCTTATTATGAACTGACTGATAAGTTACCACAGGAGGATGCCAAAGCCTGGCGGTCAAAAGTTGGTGAAGGTCAAGTGAAGATGACGCTAGAATCATTTAGTACATGGTTGGGAGCAAGAGGAAGGTGCTATTGGAGTGCATTACCCCCACAAAATGCTCGAAGAAAAGAGAATCGGAACAACCGAAATCGCCCCAGGAGATCTCTATTTGGCCAGCAGGTTGCCAAGTGCTCGAAATGTGATGACAAACACAGGACGGAGAACTGTACTAAGTTTAAAGAGCTGTCAGCAGACAACCGTCTCAACCTTGTGAAAGAGAAGCGCCTTTGTTTTGGTTGCTTAGAAGAATCTCACATTTCTCGAAATTGCCCAAAGAAAAAGGAATGCGGCATAGGGAACTGCAAAAAGAAACATCACCCGTTATTACATCAAGAAGAAAATGTACATGCAACCACCACGAAGACACCACAGTCCGGTGTAGCCTTTGGAGTTGTGGAAGTTTCCGTTGTTGGTGCTGGTGGAACTCAGGTGAAAGGAAACCTTTTGTTCGACGATGGTTCAGACACAACGCTGGTATCAGAATCTTTCATGAGGAAGCTGGGATTGCGGGGAAAGAAGACCACGCTCAACATTTCAGGTGTTGGAGGCAAAGAAAGCAAGAGAACATCTTCTCAAGTCACTCTCCGTGTTAAGACACCAGAGGGTGATGCTGAATATTTTAATCTCACAGCCTGGAGCCTTCCCAAGATCTGTCAGCCAGTTGGAACAGTTCCATGGCCTGATATTAAAGGAAAGTGGACGCATCTGGAGAACATCAACCTAAAAGCCATTGGCGGTGAAATTGATATCCTGCTTGGCCTGGATCATGCTGATTTGTTGATACCTTTGGATGTAAAGATGGGGAAACCACGAGAACCCGTAGCAAAAAAGACAAGTTTCGGCTGGATGGCAGTTGGACTGGTCAGTGAGTCTCATGGTAACATCCACAACTATCATATTGCTCGGGCTGGGCCAGAATCACTAGATGTTGCCTTTAAGCGGTTCTGGGACAGTGAGTCGTTCGGAACCGGGACAACTAATGCACCACACTACTCCAAGGATGAACAGCGGGCCTTGGATATATTGGAACGCGAGACCAAGAAGTTGGAGAACGGTTATGAGGTCCCATTGTTATGGAAAGAAAACGAGCCACAGCTTCAAAACAATCGAGAAGTCGCGCAAAAGAGACTGGAAGGCTTGCAACGGCGATTTGAGCGAGACCCACAGTATGAGAAGGACTATCGTAAAGCAGTAAGCAAGTATGTAGAAGACGGATATGCGCACAAAGTGGACAAAGAAGACAATCTTGGTGGACCGAACCAGTGGTATCTCCCCCATCACGGAGTGTATAAGAAATCATCCGCCGAGAGAAAGCTACGAGTAGTATTTGATGCCTCAGCTAAGTACAAAGGTAAATGTTTGAACGATGCTCTGCTACCAGGCCCAGTTTTACAGAACGAACTTCCGCAGGTTCTCACAAAGTTTCGAGAAGGTGATGTTGCGTTCGGAGCTGACATTGAGGCAATGTTTAGCCGAGTAAGATTGCAGAAACAAGACGCAAGATACCATCGCTTTCTGTGGAAGGAGGAAAACAGTGATGTTGTGGACACTTATCAGATGGACAGATTAGCATTTGGGGACACTTCGTCGCCATGTGAAGCAATTTACGTCACTCGCCGAGCTGCTAAAGATTTTGGCCAGGGACAAGAAGATGCTGTAAAAGCTATCAACGAGAACTTGTATGTGGATGATTATCTTGACTCTGCAGAGACAACGGAACGAGCAATAGAGAGAGGACAGCAAGTAAAGGAAATCTTAGCGAAGGGTGATTTACATTTAAGGAAGTGGACTTCCAACGTCCCGGAGTAGTATCTGAGCTCGGAGAAGAAGAAGAAACAGGATGTCGACGCTGTGACCAAATCTTGTCGAACATGAACCAGAAAAGAAAATTCTCGGGGTCAAATGGAACACTGAAACAGACGAACTTACATTCGCAGTTGCACCTGTTGAAGATGTAACCTACACACGACGAGGACTCCTCAGTAAGTTAGCCGGTGTATTTGACCCCCTTGGGTTAGCTTCGCCATTCATCATCAAGGCAAAGATCCTAACACAACAGTTGTGTCTACTCGGCCTCGATTGGGATGACCCCATTCCTAATTCCCACCTGACCAAATGGAAAACTTGGTTGCAAAGACTGCCGGAGCTAGAGCGAGTGAGTGTACCACGATGCATACAACCTAAGAAGAAAAACGTGATTGAATCAGAGCTTCATACGTTTTGTGATGCCTCGGAGGAAGCCTTTGCAACCGTGGTCTACTTGAGAAGCATTTACGACGATGACGACATACGGTGCTCCTTCCTGATGGCCAAAACAAAAGTAGCTCCAAAGAAAGCTTTGAGTGTAGCAAGACTTGAATTGCAAGCTGCTCTTCTAGGTGCCCGCCTGGCAAATTATGTTAAAGAAGCTATGACACGACACATCGATCGCGTCTTCTTTTGGACGGACAGTAAATGTGCTATCGGTTGGATACGGTCTACCGCAGTCTGGTACAAACCATTCATTGCGCACCGAGTTGGTGAGATCCAAACCCTGACAGACCCGAAGTCTTGGCGCCACGTACCTGGCAAACTGAATGTGAGCGATTGTGCTACCCGTTCGAGATTCGATGAGCGATCGGAATTGATCCCTGTTCGTTGGTTCACAGCTCCAGATTTCCTTTATCAAGGTGAAGATAATTGGCCAAAGGAAATTCCTGTTGAGGAACTACAGCAACACGAAGAAATCAAACCAAGCAAAGTATTCGTTGCCAAATCCAATCCTGAGCGTGTTCCCGTCTATGCTGACGTCGATTTAGAACGACTTTCTTCTTTGTGGAAAGCACAGCGAGTGGCAGCACAAGTTCATCGCTTTTTCAATATATGTAAAGGAAAGAAACAGCAGAGTGGTGTCCTAACTGTAGAGGAATTACGAGTCGGACTGACCGCCCTAGTACGGCAATGTCAACGAGAAGCATTCCCCGACGAGCTCCAATCCTTGAAAAGAACCAAAAGTGTCAGCAAACGATCGAAGTTGTTATCATTTACTCCCTACCTTGACGAAAGTAACGTAATCCGCGTTGGAGGAAGACTTGACCGTGCTCGATTACCCTACGAAATACGACACCCGATCCTCTTGCCTCAGAAACACCGTTTGACCGAACTGATTGTCCAGAGCTATCATCGTTCAGAAAACCACGGAGGAACTGATCACGTTTTGGCTGCAGTTCGTCAAAAGTTCTGGATAATTCGTGGACGACAGGAAGTCAAGAGTTTCAAAAGAAAGTGCACCGAGTGTAAGAAAGAACGAGCGAAGCCTGGCAGTCAGCTTCTAAGTGAACTTCCTATTGAAAGAATAACTGCCATGCAACCAGCATTTTACCATACTTCTGTGGACTATTTCGGGCCAATCGAAGTTAAGTTGACTCGCAACACGACGGCGAAAAGATACGGCGCCCTGTTTACATGCATGACGACCCGATGTGTTCATTTGGAAGTCGCAGAATCGTTGTCCACCCCTGATTTTCTGCAAGTCCTTCATAATATGATTGCGAGACGCGGAGAGCCAAGAACCATCTACAGTGACAATGGCACAAACTTCGTCGGCGCAGTATCTGAATTGAAATCGCTGGTCAGAGAATTGAATCATAGTGAAGAACTCCAAAACCGCCTAGCTAGAATTGGAGAAGGGATCACCTGGAAGTTTCAGCCACCCGCAAGTCCTCACTGGGGAGGAGTACACGAGAGTTTAGTTAAGTCAGTCAAGACAGCACTTAACCGTACCCTGAATCCAAAAGGAGGACCGAAGATAAGTAACCCTACAGATTTGCAGTTGTCTGCCCTATTTGCGGAAGTCGAGCGATTCGTCAATTCACGACCGATAACCTACGTCAGCAACGACCCTGAAGACATAGAGGCTTTGACACCTTACCACTTTTGGTTACACCGACGCTCGCCAGTTGTCCCACTCGGAGAGTATAGCCGACCAAACTTGCAAGATCGTTTCAAACGGACTCAGCACTTAGCAAATCTCGTGTGGCAGCAGTGGGTGAAGCTCTACCTACCTAACCTCATCTCTCGGAAGAAGTGGCGTAAAGAGGAAAGGAACATTTCAGTTAATGACGTTGTTCTTATAGCCGATCCGGGTGTTTTACGTGGTGAGTGGAAGTTAGGACGAGTCGTTGAAACATGCCCTGGAAAAGACGGACGAGTTCGAGCTGCTAAAGTGAAGACCAACAATGGCGTTTACACTAGACCTGTTACAAAATTATGTCTTCTCGAACAGGACTGCGGGTACGATCGTCGCCCCGAAGAAATCGAGACGAACGATGGGGAGGAGTGATGGACAGGCGTTCGGAAACTCTATATGAAGTACGTGCTTACCATATCGCAGGCTCTAGAAAAACAACGTGGGTTGTAACGTTTTGCTTTGAAAATTGAGTTGTGGTAAAAGAATTTGGACAATTTGAACGTTTTCTGATGGACATCCTTTGTTATTAGACTGTTTTCGGTATCGTTCTGTTATTTGGCTTGAACTGAAGAAGATTTGACTGTGTTTGAACGGTAAAATAAGCATGATTTCACTGATTTATTTACGTCGTGAAAAGTGCCAAGTGACAGTCATAGTATTTAATTTGTATTGTCTTATTTTCCTTGTTTATGTTCTTTGTAAGGTTAATATGTTTGTTTAGATATTTATGTCCTATTTTACTTTGTAATTTTATAAATATTTGTCCTTTTTAGCGTGAAAATAAAACCGTTCGTTATTCTGTGTGTACTTCATGTAACATTGCACATAATTGCAAAATATCGAAGGCGCTTGGGTTGGTCGTCAACTAAACATTGAAACGAGGCCTAACGCGTGAACAGTTAACGAGTTAACAAGTTAATGAAACTATCTGTGAGTGTCTCTTGTTAACCATCAACTGACAGTAGTCTTCCACTGATGAGTAAAATCATCTGGTATTACAGTAAAATACTAAAGTAGGACACACCTGGGTGCAATATTACAAGCTAAATGGTTAACAAGAGATACTTACAGATAGTTTGGTAGCTTGATCATTAACCAATTAATTTTCAATGCACGCAGATGTGAGCTACTTGTCACTCGTGGCTGTTAGCTGAGATGTTAAAATCCAAAAGTGTGCGATGTCGTGTTCTGCGTTTTCTGGCAGGCGTGGTATCCGCGTCGGATATTCAACATGTTGAAAAATTTTGTGCATGAGTTAAGATTTCCTGACAGTGTGCTGGCGTCCTGAGATATCCGCTCAGCAGTTAGAGCGAATGTGTGCACTTGTTCTTTTCATGTTGTAAATTATTTTTACAACCTAAGTGGGCGCAAAATATTAACTCAATTGTTGCCGAATCAGTACTGGAAAACAAATTAAGCCCGCTGCACACGAGGCCGAGGGCTATTAGCTGAGCTAAATACCTCGTGCGGCGCTTTTGCTTAGCAAGTTACTCTCGTGTGCGGATAGTTTTTCGTCAGGAATTGACCTGGAGAGGCAAGTTTCTGACGTGTGCGGATGGTTTTCAGGCGAGCTCAATGCCTCGCATGGTCTTTAGCTCATCTAATACCTCGTGTGTGCGGCAGGCTTTAGCGGATTTTTAGCACAATTATCCCTGTCTATACGAGGTAAAGTGTCCTGAGTGACCCATGTTCTCATTTTTTCGGTGCCTTTAAATCTTAAATGATTTGTTGACTGCTAAAAAGTATTTGAATGTAATTTTTCTTAACTTTAAGTACATATACTATATAAGCGCCCTGTTTTGAACCCACTCTTAATTCATTTTACGCGAGTATCATTCGCTCCAACTGCGGAGCCGATAGCTCAAGACGTGTGCACACTGTGAGGAAATGTTCACTTGTGCACAAAATTATTCTACTTTTTGAATATCCGACGCCCATAGCAGGCGTGTAAGAAAACGCAGAATACGACACCACACACTTGAGGCCACAGCGCAGCTAACTGTTAACAGTCATGAGTGAAATTCATCTCAGTTTCCTCCAGTGTGCGCTGGGCTTTAGTATTTTACCCAACACCAGATGATTTTATACTCATCAGTGGAAGAGTACTGTCAATTATTAAGTTAGCAAAACTATCTGTCAGTGTCTCTTGTTAACTCATTAGCTTGCAATACACATGCATATAGATGTGGCCTACTGTAGTATTTTACTGTAAGTATTTTACTCATTAGTGGAAAAGTACTCCCAGTAAATGAGTTAACAAAGCTATCTGTCAGTGTCTCTTATATTTGGTGTATTAATTAAGCTAAAGTAACTTTATTTTTATTGGATAGCTCTATCAGCTCTAAACTGTTCTTTCTGGAGGTCCAGTAAAGTTCATCTCTTATTGCAGTGTAGCACTACAAGAGGAAACCTAAACTAAATTAACTTTATTTATATTGGATAGCTCTATCAGTTCTAAACTGTTCTTCCTAGAGGTCCAGTAAGGATCATCTCTTATTGATCCATTGTTACTACAGGAGTAAACCTAAACTAAACTAACTTTATTTCTACTGGATAGTTCTATCAGTTCTAAATTGTTCTTCCTAGATGTCCAGTGAGGTTCATCTCTTATTAATCCAGTGTTACTACAGGAGGAAACCTAAACTAAACTAACTTTATTTATACTGGATAGCTCTATCAGTTCTAAACTGTTCTTCCTAGAGGTCCAGTGAGGATCATCTTTTATTGATCCAGTGTTACTACAGGAGGAAACCTAAACTAAACTAACTTTATTAATACTGGATAGTTCTCTCAGTTCTAAACTTTTCTTCCTAGAGGTCCAGTAAGGTTCATCTCTTATTGATCCAATGTTACTACAGGAGGAAACCTAAACTAAACGAACTTTATTTATACTGCATAGCTCTATCAGTTCCTAGAGGTCCAGTAAGGATCATCATATTTCTCTGGTTTCCCGCTCTTTCTTTTGGCATAAAAAAACAGTGTCCATGTTTGGGGCCAAACTAAAACGTGTTTGTTGATAGTGATGCAAACTCGTGTTGGGCTTCTGGGTTGAATTCCCAGAACACTGTGGGAATGATTTCAAAACATGGGTACAGAATCATTATGTAATTACCTATTTCTGTTTGGAAGTTTCAAATTCTCGTTCTCAAAACACAAATTCAAACTGTGACTATTGTATTGTTATGACTGATTTCAATAGTTTTGTGGTTTTGGGGAACACCCTGTAGAGATAAATAAAATGATATACAAATGACCCTTCCACGATTTCTATAGAAGTAATTTAGCTTGTAGGAACACCACGTAACTATTCAATACTGCGCAAAGCTTTCGGTATATAGCTGAGTGTGAGTTAGTGACCTCCCGTCCCTTTAATACTCCAGTTTCTTTCCCAAAGTTGCCATGGCAGCTAATCAAAATTCAAAAGGAACCGGTGGCCGGTGGGTGAAAAATCACTGAGCTATATTATAACTGAGGAATTATTATATAGCTCAGTGGGAAACATTCAAATATTATGCTCCAAGCACAATGTCGAAACGAAAACAAATCTCTTGTGTTTTGACCCTGGTTTATCGAGCAAGAGTGCGTTAAATCGACGATGATTTTACTAAAGAAAGACTACTTTATACCGTGCTTGACACCGAAGTATGTTCCATTACATTTGGAAATGTTTTTCTCGCATATCCAAGCGGGATTCGAGGTTTGTATTATTATTGTGTTATATTTACATTGTATTTCAGGAATTATTTATCAAGTCTTCGTCCCTTATTTAAGCCAAAATTTTGGACATATTTCCGGTCTTGTTTACTCATTTTGCTGTACGTGAAACTGCTTGAAGGTACGGTAGATTGCTGAATAATTCAGAGCGGTTACACTCGACTTAAGCACAGAGAAATCATTTTGAAAGATCGAATTTCAATTGTGTATAGATTTGCGACAATTTTGATACAAAACTGTTATTGTGTGGAGATTCAAACTTCATATGTTAGGCATTGATACGCTGGTAAATCAACTACTATCAATAATTTGAAAGGAGGTATTAAGATATTATTTAGAGCCTTTTTACGAAAATAATATCTTCTTACTGATGAGAGTTTGAATCATACTGTGATGAAAAGTTTGACATGTTTTAAAATATAGGCAGATATGCATACCAGTATATTAGTATTTTACTCTGTCTAATGTCAGATGATTTTACTCATCATTGAAGAGTAATGTCAGTTAATGCAACTATCTGTCAGTGTCTCTTGTTAACCTAGCTTACAATGCACCAGATGTGACCTACTTTAATTAATATTTTACTGTTACATCAGATGACTTTATTCATCAATTGAAGAGAATTGTCAGTTAACGAGAACAAAACTATCTGTCAGTGTCTCTTGTTAACCTATTAACTGACAGTACTCTTCAATTGATGAGTATAATCATCTGGTATTACAGTAAAATACTAAAGTAGGACACATCTGCGTGCAATTTGCAACCTAATGGGTTAACAAGAGACACTGAAGTATATTTTGGTGACTCATTAACCGATTAGCTTTCAAATTCACCCAGATGCAACTCCAAATCGCGTTATTTTACGCATTAGTGGAAGAGTACTGTCAGTTAATAAGTTAACAAAACTTAGCATCAAATGTGGTATATACAACTGCGTAAACAGACAAAATACTTCTCGACCTGAGGTCCTTGGTCAGGAGAGTTGGAAAGCAACTCTCCTGACGAGGGTCCTCAGATCGAAACGTTGAGAAGTATTTTGTATATTTAAGCAGTTGTTGTAGCACATTTGATGCTAAGTTGTTTGAAGACGCTGCCACGTTGCTCTCTGGCTATATTGAAAGTTAACATAACTATCTGTCATTGTCTCTTGTTAACCGGTTAGCTTGCAATGCACCTACATGTGACCTACTTTAGTATTTTACTGTAATACCAGATGATTTTACTCATCAATTAAAGAGTAAAGTCAGTTAGTTAACGAGTTAACAAGTTAATGAAACTATCTGTGAGTGTCTCTTGTTAACCATCAACTGACAGTAGTCTTCCACTGATGAGTAAAATCATCTGGTATTACAGTAAAATACTAAAGTAGGACACACCTGGGTGCAATATTACAACCCTGGTAGAAATCCTAGTTAGGATCTTATATAAGATCTTATTAAGATCTTGCATAAGATCTTGCATAAGATCTTACAATACAATCCTATAGGATCCTATAAGATCTTATAGGATCTTACATTAAGATCCTATAGGATCCTATAAGATCCTATAAGATCTTAAAGGATCTTAAATAAGATCTTAAGTAGGATTTTAAAGATTCCTATAGGATCCTACAAGTATCTTAATTAGGATCCTAGGCAGGATCTTATAATTTCCTAAATATTCTTTTAGGATCCTAGGCAGGATCTTATAATTTCCTAGATATTCTTTTCAGATCCTAGGCAGGATCTTATAAATTCCTAAATATTCTTTTAGGATCCTAGGCAGGATCTTATAAGTTCCTAAAGATCTTTTTAGGATTCTAGGAATGCAGGATCAAAGCTTGATCTTAAACAAAATATCTAAATTTATTAGATAAATAACACAACACAAACATGGTAAATTGTATTAAATAATGTTTATTTTTGCGTTACATAAAAAATTACTCTATCAAAATATAAGACAAATATTACCCCAGATAAAGTTCAAATTAATGTTCATCTTTTTAGTCTTTTAGTTCTGTAGACATTGATATTTTTTTTGTACTGTCTTACTTTGTCCTGGCACTTCTGATTGAGACTTTGCCAAATTTCAGGCCATCCATTGAGTTGCCTTGTCCCCATATTTCACCATCACTGACTGTATTTGACATAATAAAAAGAGGAAACTGGATTAGACTACAGTGCGTGGAAGCAATCTAGGTTTCAATTAGGACAAAATGCAGAAATTAAGCACTTGTCTTAATTTCTGTGATTTGGCTACTCATGAAAACCTCCTGTGCTTACCCAGAAAATTATTTTGCGGTAATGTCCACCATTAATTTTGTCTCTTTGAAAACCTAAAATGTATAGAGTTTAGAAAAAGAATAATCACATGATTGTTGAATGCACCAATTTGTCATAATGCACAAATGAACACCAATTATGGATAGTTATACTCACAAATGAAATGATGGTTATTTTGTCAAATGAATTATTGTTACCTTATGAATTCAGAGTCCTCAGTTTGCAAAATGTTTTCCCCTTGCAAATGGCTTAACAACATTGAGATGGCCCTAAAATATAAACAATAAAAGGCTTAGCACAGCTATATCAACAAACACTATGTAATGCAGAAATGTGAGACTTATCTCATGTTCAGGTGGATAATCCAGATCCATCTGATAATATGCTGTTGTGAACACATTTTTCATGGTAGTCCATACACCAGTGCCTAAGAAGTACCATATAACTTTGAAGAATTGGCCCTAAAATTAGAAGAGATTTATGAATCAACTTCTAGAATCTAGCTAGCTAGACCTTAATTTTAAACAAATTTCATATTCAGTATCAATATAATATATAACAAGCTCATGTTATAACAGCAGCATTCAAATTATAGCCAGTCAATGCTGCCTTACTGGCAATGGATACATATTTAGTAAGCCTATAGTTAGTAAGAAAGAAATCGAAGAATTCGCGCAACGCCGCAACAGTCAACACACAAATATTCATTAAGTCTGAATTTACCTTCGATAAGAGACGCTGCCTCGGGAACTTGCCTTCATATTTCTTTCAACAAAGAAATCGCACAATTGGCCATTTTTTAAAACACTAAAATTGTGTCGAAAGTATATAAAACGCCAAGCGAAGGAAGACAGACGAAGTGAAATTACAGTTTACAGTTGTAAAATGGCGCGTTTGAAATTTGAATTTGACGCAGTGCTTCCATACACGGAACTGCGCTTCCCTTGAAATTTTTTAGTTATCGCAGACGCAGAGGACCACATACCATACCACTGCTACATAAAATACATAATAAATATATCATTAAACTATGATATCATGATATAGTAGATATACATTATCTTTCGTGCATGTGTGGCTGCATGTATGTTGGGCTGTATATGATAAGAATATGTATAAGAATTTGGTAAGATCTTAAGGAGATCCTGTAAGAATTCCAAAAGATCTTGAAGAATCCTGTAGGAATATAATAAGATCTTTAAAAAAATCCTGTAAGAATACAAAAAGATTTTTAAAAAATCTTGTAAGAATGTGGTAAGATCTTAAAAAGATCCTGTAAGAATTTCATAAGATCTTGAAGGGTCCTGTAAGAATATAATAAGATCTTTAAAAAATCCTGTAAGAATACAATAAGATTTTTAAAAAATCCTGTAAGAATATGGTAAGATCTTAAAAAAATCCTGTAAGAATTTCATACGATCTTGAAGAATCCTGTAAGAATATAATAAGATCTTAAAAAATTCCCGTAAAAATACAATAAGATTTTTTTAAAATCTTGTAAGATTATGGTAAGATCTTAAAAATGTCCTTGACGAATTTCATAAGATCTTGAAGAAACTTGTAAGAAAATAATAAGATCTTTAAAAAATCCTGTAAGAATATGGTAAGATCTTAAATAGATCCTGTAAGAATTTCATAGGAATATATATATCCAAAAAATCCTGTACAATATATAAATATTGAAGAAGGAAATCCCATAAGAATTATAAGATCTCAGAGAAATCTTTAGTTCTTATTGTGTGATATTTTAAACAGTTAAGCAAACAAAATTGTAGCAATTAAGCATGACAGGATTGGGGAAACTACATTTTCCCAGTTCCCAGTACATATTTTATTATTTATGATCAGATTATGATCCTGTAAGAATTTTAAGATCTTATTTATAATCCTGAATAAATTAGGATTTTCTGTTTAGGATCAGCCAATATCTTAAGTCATTTAAGATCTTTTAGGATCTTGGACAGGAATTTGTTAGGATCCTGAAAAATATAGGATCTTAAAAGAATCCTAGAGGATCCTATAAGATCCTATAAGATCTTATAGGATCTTATATAGGATTTCTACCAGGGAAGCTAAATGGTTAACAAGAGATACTTACAGATAGTTTGGTAGCTTGATCATTAACCAATTAATTTTCAATGCACGCAGATGTGAGCTACTGGTCACTCGTGGCTGTTAGCTGAGATGTTGAAATCCAAAAGTGTGCGATGTCGTGTTCTGCGTTTTCTGGCAGGCGTGGTATCCGCGTCGGATATTCAACATGTTGAAAAATTTTGTGCATGAGTTAAGATTTCCTGACAGTGTGCTTGCGTCCTGAGATATCGGCTCAGCAGTTAGAGCGAATGTGTGCACTTGTTCTTTTCATGTTGTAAATTATTTTTACAACCTAAGTGGGCGCAAAATATTAACTCAATTGTTGCCGAATCCGTACTGGAAAACAAATTAAGCCCGCTGCACACGAGGCCGAGGGCTATTAGCTAAATACCTCGTGCGGCGCTTTTAGCTTACGGCAAGTTACTCTCGTGTGCGGATAGTTTTTCGTGAGGAATTGACCTGGAGAGGCAAGTTTCTGACGTGTGCGGATGGTTTTCAGGCGAGCTCAATGCCTCGCATGGTCTTTAGCTCATCTAATACCTCGTGTGTGCGGCAGGCTTTAGCGGATTTTTAGCACAATTATCCCTGTCTATGCGAGGTAAAGTGTCCTGAGTGACCCATGTTCTCATTTTTTGGTGCCTTTAAATCTTAAATGATTTGTTGACAGTGCTAAGAAGTATTTGAATGTAATTTTTCTTAACTTTAAGTACATATACTATATAAGCGCCTTGTTTTGAACCCACTCTTAATTCATTTTACGCGAGTATCATTCGCTCCAACTGCGGAGCCGATAGCTCAAGACGTGTGCACACTGTGAGGAAATGTTCACTTGTGCACAAAATTATTCTACTTTTTGAATATCCGACGCCCATAGCAGGCGTGTAAGAAAACGCAGAAACGACACCACACACTTGAGGCCACAGCGCAGCTAACTGTTAACAGTCATGAGTGAAATTCATCTCAGTTTCCTCCAGTGTGCGCTGCTTTAGTATTACCCAACACCAGATGATTTTATACTCATCAGTGGAGAGTACTGTGCAATTATTAAGTTAGCAAAACTATCTGTCAGTGTCTCTTGTTAACTCATTAGCTTGCAATACACATGCATATAGATGTGGCCTACTGTAGTATTTTACTGTAAGTATTTTACTCATTAGTGGAAAAGTACTCCCAGTAAAGAGTTAACAAAGCTATCTGTCAGTGTCTCTTATATTTGGTGTATTAATTAAGCTAAAGTAACTTTATTTATTGGATATTATCTTACAGCTCTAAACTGTTCTTTCTGGAGGTCCAGTAAAGTTCATCTCTTATTGCAGTGTAGCACTACAAGAGGAAACCTAAACTAAATTAACTTATTTATATTGGATAGCTCTATCAGTTCTAAACTGTTCTTCCTAGAGGTCCAGTAAGGATCATCTCTTATTGATCCATTGTTACTACAGGAGTAAACCTAAACTAAACTAACTTTATTTCTACTGGATAGTTCATCAGTTCTAAATTGTTCTTCCTAGATGTCCAGTGAGGTTCATCTCTTATTAATCCAGTGTTACTACAGGAGGAAACCTAAACTAAACTAACTTATTTATACTGGAAATGTTCTATCAGTTCTAAACTGTGTCTTCCTAGAGGTCCAGTGAGGATCATCTTTTATTGATCCAGTGTTACTACAGGAGGAAACCTAAACTAAACTAACTTTATTAATACTGGATAGTTCTCTCAGTTCTAAACTTTCTTCCTAGAGGTCCAGTAAGGTTCATCTCTTATTGATCCAAGTTACTACAGGAGGAAACCTAAACTAAACGAACTTTATTTATACTGCATAGCTCTATCAGTTCCTAGAGGTCCAGTAAGGATCATCATATTTCTCTGGTTTCCCCGCTCTTTCTTTTGGCATAAAAAACAGTGTCCATGTTTGGGCCAAACTAAAACGTGTTTGTTGATAGATGCAAACTCGTGTTGGGCTTCTGGGTTGAATTCCCAGAACACTGTGGGAAGATTTCAAAACATGGGTACAGAATCATTATGTAATTACCTATTTCTGTTTGGAAGTTTCAAAATTATCGTTCTCAAAACACAAATTCAAACTGTGACTATTGTATTGTTATGACTGATTTCAATAGTTTTGTGGTTTGGGGAACAACCCTGTAGAGATAAATAAATGATATACAAATGACCCTTCCACGATTTCTATAGAAGTAAATTTAGCTTGTAGGAAACCACGTAACTATTCAATACTGCGCAAAGCTTTCGGTATATAGCTGAGTGTGAGTTAGTGACCTCCCGTCCCTTTAATACTCCAGTTTCTTTCCCAAAGTTGCCATGGCAGCTAATCAAAATTCAAAAGGAACCGGTGGCCGGTGGGGGAAAAATCACTGAGCTATATTATAACTGAGGAATTATTATATAGCTCAGTGGGAAACATTCAAATATTATGCTCCAAGCACAATGTCGAAACGAAAACAAATCTCTTGTGTTTTGACCCTGGTTTATCGAGCAAGAGTGCGTTAAATCGACGATGATTTTACTAAAGAAAGACTACTTTATACCGTGCTTGACACCGAAGTATGTTCCATTACATTTGGAAATGTTTTTCTCGCATATCCAAGCGGGATTCGAGGTTTGTATTATTATTGTGTTATATTTACATTGTATTTCAGGAATTATTTATCGAAGTGGCTAGACAGCCGGCAGCCGGCTGTATAGTTTTTACTTGTCAAGCCTAAATAACCGGCAGCCGGCCATATTGTTGCTTGAAGTCAGCTTGAAATACTAAACGGCCGGCAGTTATCTAATCTGCAGTATCCACGTATTGTCTACACGAGTATCCTAATACAAAATGCCAAGAATTCGTATTTTCGCACGAATAAAGTTTATTAAATGCCATTGTATATATATCGTGTTGTTTTATAAATAATTTGCAGTAATTGAGCCGTCATACATGAGGAATCCGAATATTTTCCCCTTTTTTTACTTGTTATTCTCTGTTTGAAGAAAATGGTTTCGAGTACAAGATATTTGCGACTCGTATAAACCAGTAAAACCACTACTCAGAAGCTTTTGTTTATATGTATTATTGCAAAAGCGCTGTCTGGCCCCTAATAACCTGGGAACAAAAACGTGCGCGACGCGCGAAAAAGACACGCTATTGCGCGCCTACGCGGTATATACAGATGGCGGGAAGTTGGAATATTCAACAAGTCAATTTGTAATACAAATTTGCAAGATTGTATCCATATGGCTGAAAACAGTAAAGGTAAATTGGAATACACTTAGAAATCTTGCTCAAAAACTCAAATATTTACTTTATTTACTAAATTTTAAACTATTTGTTCAGAAGAGATCGCAGCAAATATCAACCTAAGCCTAGTACAGGTATCTAATAATCAGTGGCTCAATGACGAGGTAAGACAAGCTTTATACAATCCATTTGGCGTATGGCTACTGTTTCCCAAATCCCAATGGCAAAGCTAACCATAGTGCAAGTGGTCATCGAATGGTCATCCACACATTTGCTAGCCCCCCCCCCCCCCCTCCCCAACTGACTAAATATACCCCTAAGGAATTAAATCCGCTTTGTATAATCCAGCCAGTACCATCCCTACAGTATTGTATCATTCTGTTCTTGTTGGTGCTTCCCATTACGGTGCAGAGTTCTATGGTGGGCCGTACTTTGACCCACTGTTGATTACTACAATGCATTGCCACATTACTAGTTTACTGTATGGTATTTATACTCTGTCCAACAGATGAACTTACACTCATTTAAGGGAGAGTTTTGCAGCTTAAGGATAAGGCAAGCTTTCCTTAGAGGTTACTAATTTATAATCATTAATTGTTTGGTTCCTTTCTAGATAATAAATTTCTATGGAAATCTTCTACAAGAATGCGCACAGAAGATGCCTGTATGTATATGATTCATTATGTTATGCTACATACATGCATGCACTTCATAATCAATTAATCAAGGATGCTATGTCTAAACACACTATTATACTATAAGCTGTTGAGGAATACATGGCCAATTGCAAAACCATGCATACATTCAAGGCAACCATGGTGTCCCATGATATTGCACTGTATGGTATTACTACACAATAGTGTACATGTGTTATGAATTTTATATGTGTCTTGATCATATATTCCATTGCATGTTCTCTGATAATAATTAGAATAGGTGAGCATTGCTAGGTTTACTGTATATGTTAATGTTATAATTGATTGATTAATTAATTATTGGTATATATATGTATATTGTCTCTTACAGAATGTATCAATCACAATTAAAAACAGCTTCTGTTTCACAAAGTTTAAAAAAGAGGAATTTTCCAATTCATTTGCTAGATGGATGGACAAGGTACACCTGTAGCAACTGGAGAGCCTGCTTGCAGGCTATATTATTAATAATATCAATGCGCCATTCCTCTTTTGAATTTCGAAAGTTAACAGTACAGCAGAAAAAAACATGTAAAATACAGAAATATATAGCCCTGTGATGTTGGCAAATTTTTTATATTTTTGTATTTGTGTGGAAAATGCTTACCCCTTTTTTTAAAGTAGTAGGGGATTAAGCTATACTGTTTAACTTGCCTAGTCCGAAAGTCTAAAAAGGAATGGTGCATCTCTGTAGGTGGTAAAACAATAAACAAAATAATAAAACAATCATGTGTTAATTACATTTTTTCTGTTTTTAAAAGTGACTGACAATACCTCGATCAATTAAGTAGTACTGCTCTAAATTGTATGCATTATTTATGTTGCAACACTATAATTATGTTGAGAAATAACAAGATATTGCTAGATAGTCAACTGTTAATTACATATGATAAAAAATAATAATTTATTTGTATTTTTTAGGATAGTTCAGTTCTAAGTGACTTGCTCATGTTCCCTATCAATGAAGATAAACACTGGACACTATGTGTATGTATGACATGTGCATGCATGGACTAGCAGAGTAGACTACTTTATTAGTGTACTACATATGACATATTGTATAGTATATTTTAGCTCACATGTACATGTAACACAGTAATCATGTCCGACAAGGATTTCACAGAACGTCAAGCCTTCGCCAAATGCTTTCCCAGCGCATCCCTACTTATATGCCTTTATCATACACTTCGAACTTTCAGAAGGGAGATAACAGTTGAGAAAATGGGGATAACGTCAGGTGAACGGGACAGAGTTCTTGAGATATTAACCGCAATAATTTATTCCAAAACAGAAGAAGCCTATGAAGAAAACGTAAATCTGTTAAAGGAAACCAAATCAAAAGCTGTAAGAAACTATTTCTTTGACAATTGGCACCCTATAAAAGAGCAATGGGTTTCTTGTTTTAAGGATTCAACTTTTAACCTTGGTGAAACAACCAACAATCGTTTAGAGAGTGCTAATGCGAAGATTAAAAGTGTTTGCTCTCGCTATGCAACACTTTTACAATTTTTTACAGAAATGTTTGCACTCCTTGGAACATTGCGGAATGAAAGGACACACCAGAAAATTATGGCAACATTACGCAAGCCCATATCAATTGAATCGTGTGAGGAGGACATCCGCACATATGCTGAAGTTCTAACACCATACGCTTTCAAACACCTTAAGCGTCAAGTTGAACTTGCCAAACGTTTAACCGTACAACAGGTTTTGTCCGAGAACAAAGTTTTAATAAAGAGTTGTACCTATGGTGAAGTAACAGTGTCAGGTAACACTTGCCAATGCACGTATCCTGTGAAAATGGGACTTCCATGTAGACACATCCTTAAAGCCAGAACTGCGCTTAAGTTATCTCGATTTGATCCTTCCCTCCTCTCTGCCAGATGGACCGTTGAATACTATAATAAAGCTTCTGAGGCAGCCAATGTGCCAACCACATGCGGCATCAGCAACGTCGATGTCCTTCATGAAAGTAAAGAGAAATCTACCACTTTGACGCAAGCCCAGAAATTCCACAAGGCAATGAATGTGGCACGAACCCTGGCTTCACTGGCAAGTGAAGGCGGAATGAAGACATTTGACAGTAGAATGGCTGATCTGCAACAAATTCTCAACCTTTGGCAAGCACAAGACAGTCTTGGAAGATGCAGCAACACTGAAGACACAACAAATATTGATGAAGAAAAGCCCACCAAAACCCAAAACGAACATTTTCGTAACAAAGATCATGACATACCCTATGATAAAAGAGATTTTGGTCCCATTCCCCGTGATCAAAAGAAGGCCAGTAGAAACAAAAACAAATCAAATGTTCCAGGTGACGTTGCCAAAACTTCTCCCACCATCCTCGCTGATAAGTCTAAGACTGCTGGTACATCTTCACAAGTAAAGAGCAAAGAAAATGATTGCAAGCAGAAAGAGCTTAAAAACATAAAATGCCACCGAAAATGCTCAAGAGAGGAAGGCCCAAAGGAGCGGAATTAACTGTCATTGGGCTACCCAAAGTAAAGAAAGCAAAGAAAGGGTTGCTGCCATTTTGCAAGGTGAAAGCAGTAGAAAAGGACAGGATTCTTTTAGAGTGCTTTGTCCGTTGTTCAGTTGCTAACAACGCAATCCAAAGTGGTGATTTAATACCACCAGAAGAAGTCGAAACAAATCCTCTTAAGCTTCCAGACATGATTCGTGACAAAGAGAATGTCGATTTGAATAGGATTGAGAAATATTTTGTTGCCAATGCATGGAAAGTTGTTCTTAATGTCAGTGAAAAAAAGAACAAGACAAAGTGGATATGTCCTGGATGTTCAACCACAATCAGCAGCAAAGATGAAAGTGTAGCATGTGAAAGGTGCCTGTGTTGGTATCATATTAAATGTACTTCACTGAAAAGACCACCCAAGACAAGGAATTGGTTTTGCAGCAAATGCAAAGCTAAGCACGTATAAAACTGGTCACTAATTACTAGACTTTGGTATATAAGACAATGAACACTTATACTTAATAATAATATTTTGATAACTAAAATCATATTTACACATTTTGATGTAAAGATGGATTTCTCGTGACGTAATTTGTTTAGATTGCACTGGAGGCAGAAGAGAAATCAATAAATCATTTTCACTAACATAGATTTAACAACATCAAGCGACCAATCATTAATTTTTGTAGTTTAATAATAAGTACTTCCGCCTCCAACACAAACATTGCAACCCGTCTATACAGTCTATATACATACTTTAATATTAACCAAACCTGGCACTACATAATTTTTGGTTCCAGCAACGATATTGACTAGAAGCCTTACAAAAATATATTTCTTCATACTTGCACACCAACTGAAATCCCGAAATTACGCCATCGCAAACGAAGAATACTGCCGGCCGTTTAGTATTTCAAGCTGACTTCAAGCAACAATATGGCCGGCTGCCGGTTATTTAGGCTTGACAAGTAAAAACTATACAGCCGGCTGCCGGCTGTCTAGCCACTTCGATTATTTATCAAGTCTTCGTCCCTTATTTAAGCCAAAATTTTGGACATATTTCCGGTCTTGTTTACTCATTTTGCTGTACGTGAAAACTGCTTGAAGGTACGGTAGATTGCTGAATAATTCAGAGCGTTTACACTCGACTTAAAAGCACAGAAAATCATTTTGAAAGAATCGAATTTCAATTGTGTATAGATTTGCGACAAATTTTGATACAAAACTGTTATTGTGTGGAGATTTCAAACTTCATATGTTAGGCATTGATAACGCTGGTAAATCAACTACTATCAATAATTTGAAAGGAGGTATTAAGATATTATTTAGAGCCTTTTTACGAAAATAATATCTTCTTACTGATGAGAGTTTGAATCATACTGTGATGAAAAGTTTGACATGTTTTAAAATATAGGCAGATATGCATACCAGTATATTAGTATTTTACTCTGTCTAATGTCAGATGATTTTACTCATCAATTGAAGAGTAATGTCAGTTAATGCAACTATCTGTCAGTGTCTCTTGTTAACCTAGCTTACAATGCACCCAGATGTGACCTACTTTAATTAATATTTTACTGTTACATCAGATGATTTTACTCATCAATTGAAGAGTAATGTCAGTTAACGAGTTAACAAAACTATCTGTCAGTGTCTCTTGTTAACTTACTAACTGACAGTACTCTTCCACTGATGAGTAAAATCATTTTGTATTACAGTAAAATACTAAAGTAGGACACATCTGGGTGCATTTTGCAACCTAATGGGTTAACAAGAGACACTGACAGATAGTTTGGTTATTCATTAACCGATTAGCTTTCAATGCACCCAGATGCATGTGGGCTACTTTAGAACATTACTCCAAATCGAGATTATTTTACTCATTAGTGCAAGAGTACTGTCGGTTAATTAGTTAACAAAACTATCCGTCAGTGACTCTTGTTAACCCATTAGCTTGTAATGCACCCAGACGTGACCTACACTAGTATATTACTCTAATGCCAGATGATTTTACTCATCAGTAGACAGTAGATGAGTATTGACAGTTAATGAGTTAACAAAACTATCTGTCCATGTCTGTTGTTAACCCATTAGTTTGCAATGCACCCAGATGTGTCCTACTTTAGTATTTTACTGTAATACCAGGTGATTTTATTCATCAATTGAAGAGAATTGTCAGTTAACGAGTTAACAAAACTATCTGTCCTTGTCTGTTGTTAACCTATTAACTGACAGTACTCTTCAACTGATGAGTATAATCATCTGGTATTACAGTAAAATACTAAAGTAGGTCGCATCTGGGTGCAATTTGCAACCTAATGGGTTAACAAGAGACACTGAAATATATTTTGGTGACTCATTAACTGATTAGCTTTCAAATTTCACCCAGATGCAACTCCAAATCGCGATCAATTTATGTATTAGTGGAAGAGTACTGTCAGTGAATAAGTTAACAAAACTTAGCATCAAATGTGGTATATAACAACTGCGTAAACAGACAAAATACTTCTCACCTGAGGTCCTTGGTCAGGAGAGTTGGAAAGCAACTCTCCTGACGAGGGTCCTCAGATCGAAATGGAGAAGTATTTTGTATATTTAAGCAGTTGTTGTAGCACATTTGATGCTAAGTTGTTTGAAGACGCTGCCACGTTGCTCTCTGGCTATATTGAAAGTTAACATAACTATCTGTCATTGTCTCTTGTTAACCGGTTAGCTTGCAATGCACCTACATGTGACCTACTTTAGTATTTTACTGTAATACCAGATGATTTTACTCATCAATTAAAGAGTAAAGTCAGTTAGTTAACGAGTTAACAAGTTAATGAAACTATCTGTGAGTGTCTCTGTTAACCATCAACTGACAGTAGTCTTCCACTGATGAGTAAAATCATCTGGTATTACAGTAAAATACTAAAGTAGGACACACCTGGGTGCAATATTACAAGCTAAATGGTTAACAAGAGATACTTACAGATAGTTTGGTAGCTTGATCATTAACCAATTAATTTTCAATGCACGCAGATGTGAGCTACTGTCACTCGTGGCTGTTAGCTGAGATGTTGAAATCCAAAAGTGTGCGATGTCGTGTTCTGCGTTTTCTGGCAGGCGTGGTATCCGCGTCGGATATTCAACATGTTGAAAAATTTTGTGCATGAGTTAAGATTTCCTGACAGTGTGCTGCGTCCTGAGATATCGGCTCAGCAGTTAGCGAATGTGTGCACTTGTTCTTTTCATGTTGTAAATTATTTTTACAACCTAAGTGGGCGCAAAATATTAACTCAATTGTTGCCGAATCAGTACTGGAAAACAAATTAAGCCCGCTGCACACGAGGCCGAGGGCTATTAGCTGAGCTAAATACCTCGTGCGGCGCTTTTAGCTTAGCAAGTTACTCTCGTGTGCGGATAGTTTTTCGTGAGGAATTGACCTGGAGAGGCAAGTTTCTGACGTGTGCGGATGGTTTTCAGGCGAGCTCAATGCCTCGCATGGTCTTTAGCTCATCTAATACCTCGTGTGTGCGGCAGGCTTTAGCGGATTTTTAGCACAATTATCCCTGTCTATACGAGGTAAAGTGTCCTGAGTGACCCATGTTCTCATTTTTTCGGTGCCTTTAAATCTTAAATGATTTGTTGACTGCTAAAAAGTATTTGAATGTAATTTTTCTTAACTTTAAGTACATATACTATATAAGCGCCCTGTTTTGAACCCACTCTTAATTCATTTTACGCGAGTATCATTCGCTCCAACTGCGGAGCCGATAGCTCAAGACGTGTGCACACTGTGAGGAAATGTTCACTTGTGCACAAAATTATTCTACTTTTTGAATATCCGACGCCCATAGCAGGCGTGTAAGAAAACGCAGAATACGACACCACACACTTGAGGCCACAGCGCAGCTAACTGTTAACAGTCATGAGTGAAATTCATCTCAGTTTCCTCCAGTGTGCGCTGGGCTTTAGTATTTTACCCAACACCAGATGATTTTATACTCATCAGTGGAAGAGTACTGTCAATTATTAAGTTAGCAAAACTATCTGTCAGTGTCTCTTGTTAACTCATTAGCTTGCAATACACATGCATATAGATGTGGCCTACTGTAGTATTTTACTGTAAGTATTTTACTCATTAGTGGAAAAGTACTCCCAGTAAATGAGTTAACAAAGCTATCTGTCAGTGTCTCTTATATTTGGTGTATTAATTAAGCTAAAGTAACTTTATTTTTATTGGATAGCTCTATCAGCTCTAAACTGTTCTTTCTGGAGGTCCAGTAAAGTTCATCTCTTATTGCAGTGTAGCACTACAAGAGGAAACCTAAACTAAATTAACTTTATTTATATTGGATAGCTCTATCAGTTCTAAACTGTTCTTCCTAGAGGTCCAGTAAGGATCATCTCTTATTGATCCATTGTTACTACAGGAGTAAACCTAAACTAAACTAACTTTATTTCTACTGGATAGTTCTATCAGTTCTAAATTGTTCTTCCTAGATGTCCAGTGAGGTTCATCTCTTATTAATCCAGTGTTACTACAGGAGGAAACCTAAACTAAACTAACTTTATTTATACTGGATAGCTCTATCAGTTCTAAACTGTTCTTCCTAGAGGTCCAGTGAGGATCATCTTTTATTGATCCAGTGTTACTACAGAGGAAACCTAACTAAACTAACTTTATTAATACTGGATAGTTCTCTCAGTTCTAAACTTTTCTCCTAGAGGTCAGTAAGGTTCATCTCTTATTGATCCAATGTTACTACAGGAGGAAACCTAAACTAAACGAACTTTATTTACTGCATAGCTCATCAGTTCTAGAGGTCAGTAAGGATCTATATTTCTGGTTTCCCGCTCTTTCTTTTGGCATAAAAAAACAGTGTCCATGTTTGGGGCCAAACTAAAACGTGTTTGTTGATAGTGATGCAAACTCGTGTTGGGCTTCTGGGTTGAATTCCCAGAACAC